GTACTGTGTCAAACAGGAGTGGTGAAAGTGGGCATCCCTGTCTTGTTCCTGTTCTTAGGGTAAATTATTTTAGTATTTGCCCATTGAGTATGAGGTTGGCTGTAGGTTTGTCATATAAGGCTTTTATTATGTTGAGGTATTATCCCTCTATTCCCACTTTACTGAGAGTTTTTATCAGGAAAGGGTATTGGATTTTGTCAAATGCTTTTTCTACATCAATTGATATGATTATATGATTTTTGTCTCTCAGCTTGTTTATGTGATGTATCAACATTTATTGATTTGTGGATATTGTACCAGCCTTACATCCTTGGAATAAATCCTGGTTGGTCATGGTGTATGATCTTTCTAATGTAATGCTGGATCCTATTTGCTAGAATTTTTTGAGGATTTTAGCATCTATGTTCATGAGAGATATTGGCCTATAATTCTCTTTCTTTGTGGTGTCTTTATCTGGTTATGGGATTAGGGTAGCCCAGTCAATGCTTCTTTTCACATTAACAGCTGGATAAATCAAAATAGCAAATAATTTTATTATGAATGTTTTTCCTTATGATGGGAATTACCTGATAAGAACACAGAAATTCCCCTCGTGAAAATTCTCTGCTATAATTAGAATTTACCACAAGCTTCCTAAAATCCAATTTAAAGTACTTTAGAATATGTAAACACAAAAAGATAATGTTGAAAAAGAACTTGGTGCATAACAAACAAAAAGTTAATGTGCTTGTCTTTAGTATTAATACCCAAGGTTTACCTGATTGGCTAAAAAGAGATTGGGATAAAACATTAATAATAATAGTGTTCAACATTTATTTAGCATTTTTCAGTCTTATGTGGTGCTCATCACTCTAGGAGATAACAGGGTGGGAATATCATAATACTGTCACTGATGAGGCTTGGTAGACAGTGTCACAGAGCTGGTCCCTGGCAGATGCAGGCCCAAGCCAGCTCCTTTGGCTTTCTTGCCTACTTCATGCAAGTCCTCAGATGACTAAGCTTATTTTCTGCAGGCTCTTAGCTCTGGGGTAACATTTAGACACTAACATAGAGTGTAGAGTGGTTACATGACCTACACAGGCTATAGGGCCTTATGTCCTACACCATTTTTCTGCTTGAGAAAGCCAATGCCCATGGACAGATAGAAGATGAAGTAAAACATGATGTCACAGTGGTTCTCAACCTTCTGGCCCTTTAAATACAGTTCCTCATGTTGTGACCCAATCATAAAATTATTTTCATTGCTATTTCATAACTGTAATGTTGCTACTGTTATGAATCATAATGTAAATATCTGATATGCAGGATGGTCTTAGGCAACCCCTGTGAAAGGGTCGTTCGACCACCAAAGGGGTCGCGACCCACAGGTTGAGAACCGCTGTCATATTACATCAGACCAGAGAGACAAAAGCTTTGAATTAAGGCAGTGTTGGGGTGGGAGGATGGAGAGGAAAAACATCTGGAATATGTCTTGGCAGAACTTAGTATCAAATTATGTAGTGACATGGTGGAATTGGATGAATATGCCACCTATGTGCTCATCTAAATCATGACTCAAACTTGATTTTAGAAAAAATATGTATGGGGAAGCAAGGAATGAGGCACAGACCTCTGATGGGCCATTCATTAGTGACTGTCCATCAGGTTCATAAATTGCTTAATCTGTATCTTTATAGAAAGATCATCCAGCAATTATGAGCTGTTCTCCAGGTACATTTCTCTATTTCATCTACAAAAAAAAAAAAAAAAAAAATCACGAAAAACTGGATTAGGAGCCTTCCTTAAATCCAGATGCATTAGGCTGTGGTATTTCCTTGGCCTGAGGTCAGCTGTACTCCGCAGGCACTATATTTGTGCTTTCAACATTTTATCCTCATAGCAATTCTTAGGAGATGTGGGGTGAGATGATCCCCATTAGAGTGACACAGGAGAGATCAGTTAAAAGACACCTCTTGAGCACATGCAGCAGTGTGGTGTGAAATGTGGATGGTAAGTCTTCATTCCTGCAAGAGGGCTAGCTAGGGAATGCTTCCAGTAGGAACAAGTCATAAGCAAAATCTTGAAACACATGGTAGGTAGGTGTGAATTGGGAAACTAACTCAAAAGAATGCTCAGAGTATCACTGTGATTAATTCACCTGGGCAAAGCATGAGGCTCTATATTGCCCAGCTTTCTGTAACATGGAATAACAAAGAATTCAGGAATATAAAAGTACCTAATACATAAAAGACCCAGTAAACAAATATAGTTACTGCATGAATGTAACATGCATTTGACCTAGGGAGTCCCCAAAGTAGCAGACAGAACGTTCTATCAATTTTCCCTCCCATGATGCAAACACTGAACATCAAGGTGTCAAGTGGCATGCTGGTTTTAGTCTTTGTCCTGTATTCTAGGGTTTTTGTCAAACTGGCTACCTTACCTGTACATCTTAAAAAGACATCAAAGTCAACCTCCAAAATCAAACTCATCTTCTGTCCCTAATATTCCTGAGTCACTGCCTAAGTAGTGTCATCCCATTCCTCCCAGTTGCTGAAGTAGAAATCCTGTTGTCCTCCTCTGTGCACCCTCAACCTTACAGTTACCACTTACCTCCCTGTAACACTCACTTCACTTATTCCTTACATTCCTGTCCCAGTAAGGCAGGGAACATGTGTCAGCCATCTCAGCTTCCCTTTGCCAATCTTAATTGCCAGATATATATCAGAACATCAGTCAAAGCCTCCAGTGCAATCTGAGCATAAAGTACTAAGGGTCCAAGGCCATGCAAAGAAGGAGCAGCTACAGGAAACACCACACAGGAGGCTATAACCATAGAAGGGATGAAAGCTTGGAACCTGATTTTCCTGCAACTTCTTAAAAATCTGTCAGATGTGGTTATCATGAACAATGAGATTTATGGAAGTTTCTCTCTTTGCTCCCATCACTGCTCTAAGAAAAACCTTCAAAAGAACCTGTAAGGGAACGTGAAGTGTTTTTTTGAATTTATAAGAACAGTGGACTGAATAACACCAAAGAAACCAGGACTGAACCAGCCCCAAGAAAGAAGTCCCAAGCCCAGCTGCATGTTTGCATTAGAATTTGCATGGAAAGCTCTTCTGACCTGTCATTATTTGTTTCTATTCCATTATATTTTGCATGGATAGTTTGAGAAAAAATGTTGCTCACTGAGAGGCAGCACATCCCAGATCTTTGTTTAATTCTGAAATACAAGTTATGCTAATGTGTAGAATTTAGCAGGATGAGGGAAGCAAGCCTCAAGGAAATAAATGTCATGAAATTTGGGGGAAATTCTTTTCGTGACTTTTTATGTTGACTCCGCATCAAGGACAGTTATTTTTGCTCTTCACCAATGGGGGGGAGAAGAGCTGTTAGCTAAGCACTTGGAGCAGAAGGGGAGGCTTTCGTACAGCCGGCAAAAAGCCCCTCCCTCAGCAAGGATCAAACCTTTCACATCTTCTGCCTGTGTTAAAAGCAGCTGCTCTGAAGGGCTCCATTTTGAGCTTTTTAACTCAAAAAAAGTTTTAAGGTTGACTTAGTAGAACACATTAAATTTAGTAAAAATTATTAAATTTAGTATCAAATTGTGTTTAGATTTCTTCAGATACTGCTTTTCAAATGCAGTCTTTGGTAATTTCTTATGCCTAACTAGTAGAACGATTTCTTATTTTTTACCCAAAAAAGAGCGTGTTGGGGTGGAGGGAAAAGGCCTTGTTCGATTTCCCTAGCTCGGCAAAGGATGAGACCCCTGGCAGGACAACCTGTTGGGGGCCTGCTTGCTGGCACAACCATGTGGAGGCCGCAGTGGTGGGTTGAACCAGAGCCATTTTCCAACAAAGGCATCCTAAGTTAAACAGTTTAATAAAAATGACATACAAATAAGACCTTATCCCCCATCCAAAGGGCAGCCACCAAGAGGAGGGAAGCTCTGGATAATTTTTTTTAATCCTCACTTGAGGATATATTCTTACAGATTTTAGAGAGAGAAGAAGGAAGGGAGAGACAGAAACATGGATGTTGAGAGTGAAACATTGATCAACAGCTTTGGTTATTTGATGAGTTCTAAAGCACTCTAAATTCACTTCTTCACAAGGCAGTAGGCGCTCAGATGGAAAAAACAGTGAGACACACAGAGGCCAGATTTGGGTTAACCATTTGTTGTAGGAGTAAAAGCGGGTAGCTTGAGAGCAAAGATCATAAACATACACAAAGAGGACGCAGAGGGAGATTCAAGATAAGCAGTGTGAACAGCCCTGTGGGTTTCTATGCGCTCTTATTGTCTTCAAGATGTGTGTTAAATAAGTCAGGTCCACACCTCAGATGTCTCCTTTTTGGCAAATTGATGGCTCACTGTCTATTCTCCAAGTCCATTTACTTTTTAGTTTGGAAATTAAAAAAACAAAACAAAAAACACAGAGCATATAGTCTGAATGTTTGTGTACTCCCCAAATTCACACGTTCAATCCTAATAATACGGGATTTTTGGACTGGAACACGTGGTATTCCCCTGGGAAGGATGGTTCCTGGATTCTTTGTCAGAGTTGAAGAATGAATCCACAGAGGGAAGGTGGTATAGCAAAGGTGGAAATTTATTGAAGAACAAGTATAGACTCCCACGTGGGGAAGGAAAGAATCTCACAGCACAGACTCCCACCTGGGGAGGGCAAGAGTCCCGCCAGAGTTTCTGTTTCCAAGGCTTATAAGGGCTGCAAGTCCCTGTGTCCTGATATCCCCTCTGATTGGCCAATATTCCCTTTGATTTGGTTACTATAGCAACTCCTGAGTTCAAAGGTCAAATATCACATGGGACATGTGAGGCCCTCCTCCCTCATTGTTCTCCCATTCCATCTGGGATTTCTTCCTCCTTTATATTGTAAATATAGACCTTTTGTTATTCCCAGTTCCCTTGTCTTCTGGAAATGTAACTTCTGCTGCATCTATTTCCTTGTCTTATGGAAATGTAACTTCTCCCAGTCTGTAGCCCTGTGTTTTTTCCATGGACCTTTAATTTTTTAAAATTTCCTAAACCTGCCTATATCCCCCTAAACTTCCTATTTCACTAACACCTATGTGACAGTGTTAAGAGATAGGTCTTTGGAAGGCAATTAAGTCATGAAGGTGGAACTCTCATGAATAGGATTGGTACCCTAATACAAGAAACTCCAGAGAGATTGTTGGCCTATACTACCCATGAGGATACAACCAGAAGTCTACAACCCAGACCAGGACCTTCAGGCAACCATGCTTGCACCCGAAACTCAGACCTCCAGCCTCCAGAACTGAGAAATCAATCTCTATTGCTGAAAAGCTAGCTCAGTCTGTGGTACTTTGTTATAGCAGCCTGAATAAACTAAGACAACATGTGACATGTGATAGCCCACAGCATGTACAGAATGATGGATCACAAATGGAAAGTAATGTCGCATGGAAGACAGGGAATACCACAGGGCAGCTTAAACAGAAGGCATTTCTTTCTCACTCTGTTATAGTAATAAGTTTAGTTAGTATAAGATAGCATAATCAAATTTCATTTTTATTAGAGTGAATTTTAAACTTTACTTAGAAGACTTAATTTGTGTGTGTGTGTGTGTGTATGTGACCCTGATAAGTAACTTGTAACTCCCTGCGTGTAAACAACTTGTAACTCCCTGCGTGTGTATCCTGATAAGCCCAGAAGGCCACCAGAGCACACTGATATGAGACACTGAAGAAGCCCACCCATGGGGCATAAAAGAAGGACTCTCACAGCAGCAGTCAGACGCCTGTCTGACCTCCACAGACAAGACGTTCTCCTTCCCCCTGGAAACTGCCGTCCCTGCTCTGCTTCTGAGCCCAGACTGTTAGAGGCCTCTCTTTGAGTCAAGAGACCGAGCTCCTGCCGCAGCGTATTTGACGACCTCCGTGTGTCTCTGTCAGCAAGTGTCTCTGGGTGGCCTGCCAAGGACTGAAACCCATCAGCTCTCTGGTAAATAAACCTGTGTGATTTCTTGCATTGTTTGTTCCCTGTGTCTTCTCTCTTCTTAGTTTTTGGTTAAGCTTGGCCATATTAATTAATAATAAGTACTCTTTGACGTCTGTATTGGTGTATCCAAATGAGGCGCTTTGGGTCACCTGTGCATACGTTCCCATAGGAGTGGAACACACTCTTATCACTATTGGCCATATAGTCTTTGGTCTGATCATCAAATATTACATTAAAAGCCCTTTAGCTACTGAGAGGTCAAAGGGTAGGGGGAATTTATTCATCACAACATTAATTGGACTTGTTATATGAGAGCAACATTAACACCCTGCTGTCACTCAGGGACATACAGTAGCTGAGCTCCTTGGAACCACTTAGAAGGAACACAGAGGAGCGTGAATGACACAAAATGCAATATTGGTGGCATTTGTGTTTGTCTTGTTCACCCCATTGCAGTGGGTAGATTCTCAATAAATTGGTATTTGTTCAGTGACTAAACCATTTACTGCTCTTTTGTTGAGCACCATACTGGTTGCCACAAATATGAAGAATAAAATCTAATCCTCCCCTCAAGCTGCTAGCAGCTTAGTCAGTAGGTTCTAGGGAGTCAAGGGAATTTTAGTGCAATGTTGCAAGCCAGACAGGATGTTAAGAGGAAGTGAATCCTCAGCTCCTGAGGAACATGACAGGTGAGAACTAGGAAAATAAATGAAACGAAGGCTCAGCAGGTCAGTTGGATAGATTTGCCTACATCCATTTTGAAGTAAGAAAGTCCATGCCTGTTAGATGAGCTAACAAAGGTTCTGAAATAAAAAAGTGATCATTGACCAAAAAAACACGGAGACTCAAAACTAGACATTATCTCATATTCATTTCTTCTTCAAATTAAAAGATGCTATTGTAAAGGGGACTTTAAGTGATGTTCATATTTTATAAATTTCTAGGCTATTTGAATTACAAATAGTTATAATTAAGTAGCTTTAATGTGGGCTGCTGTAACCTCCCACCCTAACCAGAAACTGCATCTGTCCTCCCCCACCCCCTCCATGAACTGTCCTCTCACCCCTCCCATGAGGGACTTCGTGAGAGAACCCCTTTGCCTTCGGTGTCCAGAGTCTTCTTTGCAGCCTGGTTTCTGCCACTCAGTGAGATAGTGTCCTCCAAGGTGACTTTCAACGTTCACATCTGCTTTGTCTTCAACCTCATCTTCCCTACTTTTTTCTACTGCATCTGACCATTGTTAGCAGACCCTCACCTTTACACTTCATGACACGTTTTCCGTTTATCCTTTGGGTCAGTGTTTCTGACTCTGGCATGGGTTTCACTTGTGCCTTCCCCCATCAGTTGAGTATTTACACTGGGCTCCAGGGCTCAGGGAAAGAAGCAGAACCTAGTTCAGCAGGAAAGGGTTAATTAAGGGTAATACTAATTGTGTCTTGACTGGGGCTGCAATAACCAAATACCACAGGGCGGCTTAAACAGAGGAAATTTCTTTCTCACCCTTCTGGAGGCTGGAAGTCCAAGATGAGGTGCCAGCATGGTCAGGTTCTGGTGAGAGCCCTCCTCCCAGCTGCACGTGGCTGTCTCCTCCTCTGTGCTCACATGGCAGAAGGTAAGGTAGCTTTCTTGCCTCTTCTTGTCCGAGTGCTAAGCCCATCATGGGCTCCACTCTCATAACTTAGTTACCTCCCAAAGGCCCCACCTCCAAATACATCACATAGGGATTAGGGCTTCTATATGTGAATTGTGGAGGGACACAAACATTAGGTGCTTTCAAACTTGTTGGAAAAACTCTCAGAAGAAAATACTTGGGCACTACTGTCTCTTAACTACTCCAGGAGCAGTGTGTCAAGAATATATACCTATGAACAAGATCTAGAGATCAGGAAGCCAAAAACAGGCTGTTGCCACCAGACACAACTGCCTCTTGACTCAGAACATCAACACACACACACACACACACACACACACACACACACACACACACACAATATTTCATGCCAGCAAAAACCAAGAGAAGGGGTCAGGAAGGTGGCTTTCAACACACTTGACCTTCTAAACTTGGAGAAGTGTATCTCATCAGTGGTACCTCAGTCACAAGCAGAATACAGGCAATGGTTTTTAGATATCCAGGTTTTTTACATGAAAAAGTCTTACCTCTTCCTTGAATCCACATTACCCAAACACATGTAGCTATAAATACCCTATTTCTGCAAAAGAAGCACCAACTTGGTCACCAAATTTCCAAACCAGGAGCTTTCCTGACTCTTCCTCTCCCACATCCATCCATCCCCTGCAAGACTTCCAATTCCCTAATCTTCTCTCTCCAGGCAGCCCTCTAACTCAGCCCCATTTCCTGCCACCTGATCAGGCACCCTCACTGCTCATTCCAGGTCTTTTAGTGGCTATCAGAGGACCCTTCTAAAGCACATTGCTTACTGTGTTATGCCACTGCCAAAAGATTTGCACTAAGTCCCTGTTAAACAATTGAAAAAATGCCAAACTGGCATGAAAACTAACAGCCATCCACAATCAGCCTGTGCACCTTCCACCTCACCTCCCACAGGTCTGCCTTTTTCCTGAAGCTACTTCTGCCTCGAATGGCCCTCTTCTGTTCTACATGCTCAAATCCCGTGCTCACTTCAGGTTGCAACTCAAATGTTATTTCCTAAGACCAAAAGTAGGTTTCCTTCCTTTGATCTTGACTTATAGCATATAATTAGATCTTTTTGAAAGCTCTTGACTTTCTACTTTATAATGTACTTATTTGTGAACATGTTTATTGCCCTTTAATTCCCTAAGGTGAAAGGCCACATCTTACTTGTTTTGAGGTGGATCCCTTTCATTAGGTCTTGCACTTTATAGAAAATCAGTATTTAATTAATAGCTAATGCATATTTTATGGAGTTCTTATGCAATCCACATATTACTCTGCTCTTTCTTCTATGCCACAAAAGTAACCTGAAGAGACAGTCAAGAGAACAAATGTGTCCCCAGCAAGAAGCAGTGCCTGACATACAGTCATTACAAGCTATTAAACTGAACAGAAGGGGAAGTGGATCTTATTAGCCAAGGGAGGAAGGGTTTCCAGTGGGGGGACAGTGATAGTGTCCAGTGCTTCAGAGGGTGGGGAATGCTGGGCCATGGCTCCCACTGAATTTGGGAACTAGGAATAGTGAGTGGAGACAGAAGCCAGACAGAAAAAGTTAAGGAATAGCACATGAGGAAATGGAATAAATGAGTATAGATTATTCTTTCAAGAAACCTAACCAGAGTAATGGGAAGAAAAAATGGCATATGATGCACATCTGATCTCATGGTCATCTGCTTCTGAGGTGCAAAGAACCTGGACCAGTCCACATGTGAAAGCAGCAGAGAGGGCTGGCTCAGAGGTGTGTAAAAAGTGAAAAATGACACAATTCACGCTCCTCACCAATCACAGAGCCTTGTAGTCAAGTGCCCAGTATGCTGTGCTCATGTCTATGCACCATATTGTCAAGATAGAAATTATGATGGTTAATTTTACATGTCAGCATGGGTGGCCCACAGTGCCCAACTATGTGGTCAAACACTATGCTAGGTGTTTCTGTAAGAGTGTTTTTGGATGAAATCAGCATTTAACTCGGTAACTTGGAGAGAAGAAGATTGTCCTCCATAATGTGGGCAACCTTCATCCAATCACTTGAGGCCCTGAATAGACCAGAAGACTGGCCTCCCCAAGCAAGACGGAATTCTGCAGCAACATCAGCTCTCTTATCTCTCCAGCCTGCTGCTCACCCTATAGATTTTGGATTTGCCAGCCTCCATAATCATGTGAGCCAATTTCTTAAAATCAATCAAATTCTCTCTCTCTCTCTCTTTCTCTCTCTCTCTCTCTCTCTCTCTCTCTCTCTCTCTCTCATAAATACACCCTATTAGTTCTGTTTCTCCAGCAAACCCTGACTAAAACAGACTTTAACAAAGCAGATCTTATTCAAAGAAAAGAGTAAAAAACAGAAGGTCTATTAGCATAGTAAATGAAGCATAATGAAAAGAACTAGACAGAGCTTGGATAAAATAAAATGTGGTGGCCTTCTGTGGACATTTTAAAAGCTGCCATGTGTCAAGAGGGAACAGACTTATTTATGGTTCCCAGCAGGTAAAATTTCAATGTTCTAAAAGTGTAGAGGCTGTCTAGTTTTTGCTCAATATAAAAAATTATAAATATTTTACCACAATTTTTTTTAATGGCTTGGTTTGTTGGACACAAAAAGGTTGCTGGTTTGAGTCCCGGTCAGGGCATGTACGGAGGCAACCATCGATGCTTCTTTCTCATGCATGTTTATCTTTCTCCCTCCCTCTTTCTCAAAAAAAAAAAAAAAAATCAATAAAACATCCTTGGGTAAGCATCCTATCTAATAAAAGAGAAACATGGTAATTGGCGTACGACCACTACCCTTCCCATTGGCTAATCAGCGAAATATGCAAATTAACTGCCAGCCAAGATGGCGGCCGGCAGTCAGGCAGCTTGAAACTAACATGAGGCTTGCTTGCTTCAGTGATGGAGGACTCCAACGTTCCCCACCTGCCTTGCTGGCCTCTGAGCCTGCAGTTTAAGAAACATTGTAACATATAGAAGCTAAACAAAACCCCAGAAACCAGCTTTCAGCCAGCCAGGATCTCAGAGCTGGAGTTAATACAGAGTTTCGATTATAGAACCGAAACAAACCAGATACCTGCTTTCAGGAGCGGAGGCCTAAGAGCTGGAGCCCCAGAGCTAAAGGTGGCCCAGAATAAAAAAAAAGAAAAAAGAAAAAAAGGAGCAGTTGGGAGCTTCAGTCCCAGCCTGAAAACAGCCCTCAGCCCCTCACCCAGACTGGCCAGGCACCCCAGTGGGGACCCCCACCCTGAAGGGTGTGTGACCAGCTGCAAACAGCCATCATCCCCTCATCCAGGCGGGCCAGGCACCCCAGTGGGGACCCCCACCCTGATCCAGGACACCCTTCAGGGAAAACCAGCCAGCCCCCACACATGCACCCGGCCTCTACCCTATATAGTAAAAGGGTAATATGCCTCCCAGCACTGGGATCAGCGGAGCTGCGAGGCCTCCCAGCACCAGGATCAGCGTGACGGGGCAGCGCCCAAACCCCCTGATTGCCCTACGGCTCTGTGTGTGACAGGGGGTGGGGCCACAACCTCCCTATCTGCCCTGCTCTGTTCATGACAGGGGAAGGTGCCCCAACCCCCTGATCAGCCCTGCTCTGTGCCTGATAGGGGGGAGCTCCCCAACCCCCTGATCGCCCTGCAGCTCTGTGATAGGGTGTGGCGCCCCAACCCCCTGATTGGCCCTGCTCTGTGTGTGACGGGGTAGAGCCATAACCTCCCCATCGGCCCTGCCCTGAGTGTGTCAGGGTACGGCACCCCAACCCCCTGATCCGCCCTGCTCTGTGTGTGACAGGGGGGAGCTCCCCAACACCCTGATCGACCCTGTTCTGTGCATGACAAGGGGGAGCTCCCCAACCCCCTGATCGACCCTGCTCTGTGCGTGACAGGGTACGGAGTCCCAACCCCCCTGATGGGTCCTGCTCTGTGAGTGACAGGGGGCAGCGCCCCAACCCCCTGATTGGCCCTGCTCTGTGCGTGATAGGGGGTGGCGCCACAACCTCCCCATCGACCCTGCCTTGAGTGTGACAGGGGGCGGTGCCCCAACCCCCCAATCGGCCCTACCCTGAGCATGACTGAGGGTGGCATCGCAACCTCCCGATCCGCCCTGCTCTGTGTATGACAGGGGCGGCGCCCCAACTCGCCAATCGGCCCTGCTCTGAGCCCAACCAGGGGCTGCACCTAGGGATTGGGCCTTCCCTCTGCCACCCGGGAGCAGGCCTAAGCCAGCAGGTCGTTATCTCCCGAGAGGGCACAGGCCGGGCTGAGGGACCCCCCCCTTCTCCCCGAGTGCACAAATTTTTGTGCACCAGGCCTCTAGTCTTAAAATAAAAAGTTAACAGAATATACCAGAAACCATGGAATTACACACTTTTAAATAGGTGACTTTTATGGTATGTGAATTATATCTCAATAAATCTGTTTTAAAAAATAAATCTTTATCTCCCCACTACATTGTGAACAAATGAAGCTAGGAAGTGTATCCTTTCATCTTTTTTCAGTGAATAACAGAGGGCCTGATATATGGTGCCCAGCTAGCTGCTCTTCATCAGAGCTTCACTGATGACTGCACGTTCTTGCTAAGTGATCTTTTGCCATAACAGTTTCTTCCTGACTCTGGTAGCTATGTTTATTTTCTTTCCTTACTCAGGTGGGTGCCAGGCTTCAAAAGATAATGTTTTATTGGAACTGAAATTATTTCTATCTCCTTTCTTGATTGAATAAACATTTCCCTTTGGTTATGAAATTGTTGCTTCCTAAAAGTATCTAGTACATAATAGTGGTCATGATTCTTCCTTCCTATTTCTTTTAATGTCTACTAAACCCTTTCTTATTTAATTTTACCTCTTCAGAGATAGATTAAATATTGTCATGTAGAGAAAGTTAAAATGAAGGTTGATTTTCTCTTGCTATGCAAAATAATTGTTAATTTATCTTCTTACATAATTTTTGGTAACATGAACATTTTATTCACTCTCTTGATTGCAAATTATAGAATGCAAACTTGAACTAGCTGGAGTAAAATGGTGAATTTCTTACAGGGACACTGCTACAGTGTCTCACAGCCACTCGAATGTCAACAGTGGTTAGGATGATTTTGGCTGCAAATGAGATAAATCTAAAATCCAACTGGGTTAAACTGCAAGAAAAAAATTGCCAGGTCACGTGATTATGGGTGATCAAGTGAATAGCAACCCCCAAAGACTTACTGTACTTCATTTTCACTTGAAACACTTGCCATTGCAGTCCTGACTAGAGAAGAACTATGGTCAAGACATTCAAAGCTGTGCCTGCTTACTCCTAATGAAGAGGATCCTGGGCCTCATCTCTTATAAGAAGGAGTGTTTTCTAGAAGTTAAAATTTCCCCTCCTTGGTTGATTAATATATTTCCAAGTATATCCAAAGGACTTGGAATTGGATTTAAAAATTCCAAGCTTAAGAAACCCTTTGAAAAGCAGATTTTAAGACAGGATTAGATTTGCAGGAGATTTACTGAGGGAAATGCCTGTGAAGAATAAACAGAGGTAGCAGAAGTAGGCAAGGAGAGCCTTTAGATACTGATGCAGGTCTGACACCTGTGAAAGGAGTGGAGTGGGGAAGGAATATCCATCAAGAAGAGTCTCGGCTTTTTTTTTTGGAAGATGGCGGCGGTATAGGCAGACGCGTCCCAGGTCGTGTCCCTGAGCAAATGGAGTGAGCAGCTGAAACTAGTAACATCCACCCCGAATTGGCGAAATTCCTCAGCTGGCGAGACGGTTTGCAGCCGGGAAGAGCAGAACTCCCCTGGAAAGGTCTAAGGCGAGCCACACTGAAGAATAGAAGAACTGAAGGACCTTCACTACTGCAATATTTTTTTTTTCTTTTTTCACCTTTTAACTAAGAAACCAATTTTTTTTCTCTTTTTTTTTCTTTTTTTCCTTTTCTTCTTCTTTTTTTTCTTTTTTTTTTCTTCTTTTTTCCATCACCTGATTTTACCCTTTTAATTACTACCTTCTTATTTTTAACCAGTATTATTACTGCTACCATTTTACCATTTTTTTTTTAAAGTGCCATTTTATTTTCTCTTTATTTTATTTTGGGATTAGTGTTCTCCATTCTATTTTCATCGTTATATTATTGGTTGTTTCTAGTTTGCATTCATCTCCAGGGAGCTGTTGCTGGAATTTGTTGGGATTAATGGCTGTTCTATAGGAGTATTCTCCTCATATAAAAAAGTCTCTTCCCCTCTTCCACTTCATTCTCTCTTTTCGCTCTTTTTTTTTCTTTTCTTTTCTTTTCTCGCTTTTATTTTCCCCCCTCCTTTTTCCCAATTTCATTTTTGCACTCCTTTTTTTGGTCCCTAATTTTCTTTTCTTTTTTCTCTTTTCTCTTTTTCTCTTCCTTCTTCCTTATCCCCTAATTCTCTTAATTCAGGTGGTCACCTTTATTTGGGGTTATTAATATCGTGAATATATTTGTGTATAGTGCCTGGTACGTGGTGCCTTGTTGTGTTGTATTTTGTGCCTTTAAATCAACGCAGCAGATCCAAGCAACAGCAACCTCCTGAGCACCACACCCTCTGCTGAGGAACAGCAGCTGTACGTGAAACCTTGCTCCACCAGCCAGAAGAGCCACCACAGCTGTGAACAGCACCCACCAGAGGAGCTGCTGCCAACTGAAGAGCAGCTGCTACCGCAACCGCCCGAAGAGCAACCACAGACCAAGGAGTCACTGCCACCAAGGGAGCAGCCACTGAACGACTCAACGTCTAGATATGTCAGCGAGATCAAACATGGGTAGACAAAGAAACCCCCAAAGGAAAGAAAAGGAGGACTCTCCAGAAAAGCAGCTAAGTAATACAGAGGCATGCAACATGACAGAAAAAGAATTCAGAATAAGGGTCCTAGAGTGCATAAACCGGATGGAGGAAAAAATCGACAACCTCTCCAAGAAGCTAGAAGAAACAGATGAAAAAATCAACAACTTAAGTAAGACCCAAGAAGAAATGAAGAGTGATATAACTGCAATGAAAAACTCCATTGAAAGTATCAACAGTAGACTAGGAGAAGCGGAGGACCGAATTAGTGATTTAGAAGACAAGGAAGCAAAACACACCCAAAACGTACTGCAATTGGAGAAAAAAATGAAAAGACAGGAGGAGAGCCTAAGGGAGCTTTGGGACAACATGAAACGAAACAACATACGAATAATAGGGGTACCAGAACAACAGAAGGATGAACAAGGATTAGAAAACCTATTAGAAGAAATAATATCAGAAAACTTCCCTGAGGTGGGGAAGAAAAAAGTCACACAAGCCCAGAGAGTCCCAAACAAGGTGAACCCAAAAAGACCCACACCAAGACACATCATAATTACCATGGCAAATGTTCAGGACAAAGAGAGAATCTTACAGGCTGCAAGAGAGAGACGGAAAGTTACATACAAGGGATCTCCCATTAGATTGTCAAATGATTTCTCAACAGAAACACATCAGGCCAGAAAAGAATGGACGGAAATTTACAAAGTGATGCAAAGCAAAGGACTGAATCCAAGAATACTCTATCCAGCAAGGCTATCATTCAAACTTGAAGGGGAAGTAAGAAGCTTCACAGACAAAAAAAGGCTAAGGGAGTTTATCACCACCAAGCCAGCAATGCAAGGAATGCTAAAGGGACTGGTATAAAAATAAGAAATAAAAAGCTCAGAAAGAAAACAGCCACACAAAAACAGAAATGCCTACAAACAAGTACCTTTCTATAATAACTTTAAACGTAAACGGACTAAATGCTCCAAACAAAAGACATCGAGTGGCTGAATGGATAAAAAAACATGACCCATACATCTGCTGTCTACAAGAAACCCACCTCATTAGAAGGGACTCACACAGACTGAAAGTGAAAGGATGGAAAAATATCTTTCAGGCAAATGGAAAGGAAAAGAAAGCTGGGGTAGCAATACTTATATCGGACAAAATAGACCTCAAAGTGAAGGCCATAACAAGAGATAAGGAAGGCCACTTCATAATACTAAAGGGATCAATACAACAAGAAGATATAACCCTGGTAAACATATATGCACCCAATGCAGGAGCACCCAAATTCATAAAAAAACTCCTGGAGGATATCAAAGGAGAGATCGACAACAATACAATCATTGTAGGGGACTTTAATACACCACTGACAGCACTGGATAAGTCTTCTAGACAAATAATCAGCAAAGATACAGCAATCCTAAATGACTCACTAGATCAGATGGACTTAATAGACATCTTCAGAACACTTCACCCGAAAGCCAGGGAATATACATTCTACTCAAATGCTCATAGGACATATTCAAAAATAGACCATATATTGGGTCACAAGCAAAGTATCCCCAAATTCAAGAAGATTGAAATCATAAAAAGCGTCTTCGCAGACCACGATGGCATAATATTAGAAATAAACTACAATAAAAACAACCCAAAATACTCAAACACCTGGAAGCTGAATACCATGCTATTAAATATTGATTGGGTTACCAATGAAATCAAAGAAGAAATTCGAAACATCCTGGAAACTAATGACAATGAAAACACAACAATCCAAAACCTATGGGACACAATGAAAGCAGTCCTGAGAGGGAAGTTTATAGCTCTACAGGCCTATCTCAAAAAACAAGAAAAAATGGTAGTAAATCATCTAACTCTACAACTCAAAGAATTAGAAAGAGAGCAACAAGAAAACCCCAGAGTGAGCAGAAGGAAGGAGATAATAAAGATTAGAGCAGAAATAAATGACATAGAGTACCAAAAAAACAATACAGAAAATCAATGAAACCAAGAGCTGGTTCTTTGAAAGGATAAACAAGATTGACAAACCTCTAGCCAGACTCACCAAGAAGCAAAGAGAGAGGACCCAAATAAACAAAATCAGAAACGATAGAGGCGAAATAACAACAGACCCCACAGAAATACAAATGATTGTTAAAAAATAAATATGGACAGCTCTACTCCAACAAACTAGACAACCTGGAGGAAATGGACAAATTCCTAGAAAAATACAACATTCCAAAACTCAATCAGGAAGAATCTAAAAATCTCAACAGGCCAATAACTATGGAAGAAATTGAAGCAGTCATCAAAAAGCTTCCAGCAAACAAAAGCCCAGGACCAGACGGCTTCACAGGGGAGTTTTACCAAACATTCAAGGAAGAACTGAAACCTATCCTCCTCAGACTACTACAAAAAATTCAAGAGGAAGGAACACTTCCAAGCTCATTCTATGAAGCCAGCATCACCCTAATACCAAAACCAGGTAAAGACAACACAATGAAAGAGAATTACAGGCCAATATCCCTCATGAACATAGATGCCAAAATCCTCAACAAAATCTTAGCAAATCGGATCCAGCAGTACATCAGAAAGATCATACACCATGACCAAGTAGGATTTATCCCAGGGATGCAAGGATGGTACAATATCCGCAAATCAATAAACGTGATACATCACATAAACAAATTGAAAGAAAAAAACCACATGGTCATATCAATTGATGCAGAAAAAGCATTTGACAAAATTCAACACCCATTTTTGATAAAAGCTCTCAGCAAGGTGGGAGTAGAAGGATCATACCTCAACATAATAAAAGCCATATATGACAGGCCCACAGCCAACATCATACTCAATGGACAAAAACTAACACCATTCCCCCTAAGAACAGGAACAAGACAGGGATGCCCCCTCTCACCACTCCTCTTCAACATAGTACTGGAAGTGTTAGCCATTGCAATTCGGCAAGAAGAAGAAATAAAAGGCATCCAAATTGGAAAAGAGGAAGTAAAACTGTCCTTATTTGCAGACGACATGATATTATACATACAAAACCCTAGAGACTCCATCAAAAAGCTACTGGACTTAATACATGAATTTGGCAATGTAGCAGGATACAAAATTAACCCCAAGAAATCCGAGGCATTTCTATACACCAATAGTGAACTTTCAGAAAGAGAGATTATAAAAACAATCCCGTTTACCATCGCACCAAAAAAATTAAGCTACCTAGGAATAAACTTAACTAAAGAGGTAAAAGACCTGTACTCAGAAAACTACAGGACGTTGAAAAATGATATAGAGGAAGACATAAACGGATGGAAGAACATACCGTGTTCATGGATTGGTAGAATCAACATCATTAAAATGTCCATACTACCCAAAGCAATCTATAAATTCAATGCACTTCCCATTAAAATACCAATGGCATACTTCAGAGATCTAGAACGAACTCTCCAAAAATTCATCTGGAATAAAAAAAGACCCCGAATAGCTGCAGCAATCCTGAAAAAGACCAAAGTAGGTGGGATCTCAATACCAGATATCAAGATGTATTACAAAGCCACTGTTCTCAAAACTGCCTGGTACTGGCACAAGAATAGGCATATAGATCAATGGAATAGAATAGAGAGCCCAGAAATCGGCCCGAACCAATATGCTCAATTAATATTTGACAAAGGAGGCAAGAACATACAATGGAGCCAAGATAGTCTCTTCAATAAATGGTGTTGGGAAAATTGGACAGATATATGCAAGAAAATGAAACTAGACCACCAACTTACACCATACACAAAAATAAACTCAAAATGGATAAAGGACTTAAATGTACGACAGGAAACCATAAAAATTCTAGAAGAATCCAAAGGCAACAAAATCTCAGACATATGCCGAAGCAATTTCTTCACTGATACAGCTCCTAGGGCACTTGAAATGAAAGAGA